GAGTTCAGACGTCATGTCCCGCCTCCTGCTGCTCTACAGGCTCCACCCCTCACCTGAATGTCCCCACATGTTCCTGTTGTTGTGAACGAGTCGACGATCTGCTGCCTCACAAACACTAACTACCAATTTTCTGGAACATTTCTGGAGTTCATGTCTGAAAACAGCTTAATACACTAAATGTTTTTTCCTTTAAATCTTCAACCGTCTGTACATTTTGCGGAGTTTAATTAGTTCCACCTCCGCCCTGTGATGTCACCAGGACCTGTTCTCACCTGTTCTCTGTCCTGATGACTGCAGGTGGTTTGCGGTCTGTGGTGGAGGAGCTGGAGCTGGAGAGGAATCAGCTGCAGGAGCAGATCCTGAGTCTGGAGGAGCGCTGTCAGGATCTGGAGGATCGACTGCAGCTGCAGGCGCGGATCGAGGCGTTGCAGGTAACCTCACGGGACACAAGCTCATCCAACAACACGCCACCTCCTAATCCAGCATTTGTTGTGAAGATGTAATCTGAGTAGATGCTGAGTGATTTGCATGTTTCCCCTGAGGACTGGGATTTTGTAACAAACCCTTCTAACACAGGTGACGTTTGATGTAGATGAAGATGAGCAGCCATGTTGGGTCTCTCAGGTGTGTTGGGTCTCTCGTGTGCGCTAGAGAGCACCTCTGGCGGTGGCGGCTAACGGTGTGGTGTGCTTTTTTAATCTTGGACACATTTCTCAAAAAGGTTTTGAACAAGTCGAGCGATGTGTCGCAGACTCACTGGGTGTCGTAAACCGCACCGATGGTGAATATCAGTGTTTGTCGTTACCATGTGAGTGGGAAGAGAAAACCAATGATTGATTACAAATCTCCACTGATGCTCGTGTCCGGGCGCGGGGGGGGCGGGGGGGCGGTCCTGCTGTCGTGCACGTGTGTGTGTGCAGTGAGAGTTTCTTCATCCACTTCTGTATGAATTTAATCTTTGCAAATTGATCTTCGTTTTTGTGGCACCACAGAATGAGTCGGAGAGACTTCAGAGTCAACTCGCCAGCGTCCGAAGTCAACAGAGCAGAGATGCAGAGAAACACCAGCTGCTGGTCAGCAGTCTCAACGACCAGCTCAAAGGGTGAAAACAATAGTTCTCTGCAAAAAGCTGCATCTGATCATATTGAAATACAGCAGCTCACTACACGTCTTTCTAAATATAAATACATTTATTGATTGTTAGTTAGTTGGTTATCGTTTCTGGTTTCAAGAAAGTGTACAGAAATTAAAAGATATTTTTCCACTCTGTAAAAACAATCTGATCTGCCGCTATCGACAGACGTGTTCAACGTTTTAACTGTGTCCATTGTGTCTTTTTTTCAGCCTGAGTAACACTCAGGAGTGTCTGGAAAGTTCCCTGATCGAGAAGGAAAACACTTTGGCTAAAACGTCGGAGAAACTTGAGCTGATCAGCAGCCTCAGAGAATCTCTGAGCGAGAAAGAGATTCAGTACAAAGAAGTGTCCGACAGGCTCCTTCAGTCTGAGCACGCTGTAAGTTTCACCTGCAGGATTCATCTCTGTTTGTTGCTCATCTGTAGTTACTGACGTTTTCTTTTCCTCCTTTCAGCTCGACAACGTCTCCAGGAAATGCAGCAGCTCAGAGAAACAGTGTTCGGAGCTGAAGACAGAAGTTTCTGAGCTCACGCAGAAGTTTACTGTTCTGAAGGAGAAGGTGTGATTTATCAAAGAAAAACATCTTGAAGATTTCGATCTCACTTAAATCCATTAAGACCCGAAGCTCTGAATAGAAACAAACTAAAACCTTCGAAAACAAACATCTAAATCCTGAGGGGGTTTCTGAAGAGCTGCTGTCTACAAAAAAAAATATATATTTCCAAAGACATGAATCAAAAAACGTTTGATAGCTTAAACATTTTGGTTTTTATTGCTCAGTCATGAGATGCCTTTGAAACATCTCATGACTGAGTCTCAGTTTCAGTGATATGAAGCTGTATTCTGCTTTATTATCGCTAAGAGCACTGAATCTGAAACAAACTAAATTTCCCATAATGCATTTCAGCCCAAGTATTTCAGCAAATCACGATGTATTTCATCAGTCAGTCGGTTTCATCCAGCTCTGAAGGATGAAGCGCAGAGACTTCACATCAGGTCTTAATGGGCTCATGTCAGCATCCTTCATTCATTCTTGTTTATTTAAATCAACACCGGAGAAATTTGATGTGTCTGAAGTTTACTGTTCTTTTTTTATCTTCTCATTTTCAGACACAAAAGCAGGAAGTCACCATAGAAGCTTTACAAACGGAGCTGGATCAGACAAATGAGGAGCTGGACAAGCTAAACTCCGCCCACCTGGAGGAACGAGCCCAACTCATTCACGACCTTCAAACCTGTGAGCGGGAAATTGACAGTCTCAAAGAAATTCTGGTGGAAAAGGACAAGGAGATATCAAGCCTCTCTTCCAACATGGTGGAGTACGCGGAACAGATCACGGTTCTGAAGCAGGAGATCAAACTCAAAGAGGAGAACCTGGTTCAGGTAGAGACGTCGCTGAGGAGAGCAGAACAGGAAGCCATGATCATCAGAGACTCGCAGAATTCAGACCAGCAGTCTCTGCACAACAAGTTCACAGAGGCGGTGGAGAAACTCAAGGACACGGAGACAGAATTAGTCAAGGCCAAAGAGGAGAGAGAGTCCAAAGAGGCTGAGCTGGAACAACTGATGAAGCAGGTCGAAGACGACAAGAAGACTATTCAGGAGCTTCGAGTGGAGATTCAGAAACAGACTGTGAGCCATCGTCATCATCTCTCTGAATGTGAAACACACATCACCTCACTAAAGGAGCAGCTGAGTTTGTCAACAGAAAAGCTGCAGGAGTCAGAGGGACTCGTTTCACAGCTCAAGGACAAAGACATCAACAATGAGAGATTACAGCAGGAGCTTCATGACAAAGAGGAGACGTATGAAAAAGAGCTGAAATCCTTCAAGGAAGAGCACAACACACTCCTGGCACAGGTGGAAAAATACGAGAGCGAAATCCAGACATTGTCCAAACAGTTAGAGGAGAAAGTGCAGAGCGAAGAGCAGATCAGGAAAGAGATGCAAGAGAAGGTGGAAAGAATAGTAACATTGGAAAAGCAGCAAAAGGTAAATGATAAACAAACGTCAGAAAAACAGAAGCTGAGCAATGAGCTAAAAAACAAAACCGAAAACATCTCCAAGCTCAAGAACCTGTTGAAAAGCACCAAGACGGAAAAACAGCAGCTGACTGAGGAGCTGGAGCTTCAGAGGCAGAACGTCAAAGAGCTTCATGAAAAGTTGACGTCTGCACTCGAAGTCAACAGCGGCCTGGAGCATCAACTTCACTGCCTCACGCAAGAAAAACACACACTTGAAGCGGAAGTGAGTGAAAGTGTGAAGCACATTTCAGAGGTCACAACTGAAAATGATTCTTTACAAGACAAGTTATCCACACTGGCGACCCAGAGTTCACAGAATGACAGAGTCATTGAGGGGCTACGAAGAGATAAAGAGGAACTGACTCTTCAAATCAATGAGTTAAATGGAATCCTTGAGCAAAGCACACACTCAAACTCAGAGATGCTGCTGGAGAAAACCAACACATGTAGTCGCCTCAACCAGGACCTCAGGGAGCGGGAGGAGAAAGTGGCCGAGCTGCAGGAACATGTGAAAAACTTGACTTCTGAGGTCAAGCAGCTCCGGTGCGACGTGGCAGAAAAGGAGAAAACCGCCGCTGAGCTTCTCGCACAATTCAAGGCCGAACAAAATCAGCGAACACAAACCGAGGAAACTGTTTGTCAGCTGCGAGGACAAGAGAGCAGCCTGAGGTCTGAGGTAGCGGAGAAGGACGCCGCGTTGAAAGAGAAGCAGGACGAGTGTCGACGTTTGCAGGATGAAATCACAGCTCAGAAAAACATGGTAGTCAAGCTGCAGGAGGAGCACTCACAACTCAGACTGCAAGTTCAGACGAGAGAGGAAATGTTGGACGATACGACACGACAATGTCAGAATCACAAAGACGAACTGAACGCAATGAACGAGACTGTCAAATCTCAGAGCGATCAAATCAGGGTCATGGAAGAAAATGCCAGAAAGCTTCAGAATGAAGCAGAGTTGCGACAAACGGAGCTGACTCGCTTGAACAACCACATCCAGACTGTCACCGAGGAGAACCAACAAATCAGAGCTGCGGCTGAAGCCAGAGAGGAGGAGCTCGCTCATCGAACACAGGTTTCATCAGAACTTGACTCGCAGCTTCAAACGACCCTCGAACGTAACTCCAGTCTGAGCACGAAGATCAGCAAACTGACAGAAGATAATCAGAGACTGCAGGAAGAGTTAGAGCAGAACAGTAGATCAATGTCTGAACAGACCACCGAGACGAGTTTACTCCGAGAAAAAATTGCTGGGCTCGAAATCCATATTTCAGACAACGAGGAACGAATCAGCAGCTTGTTGAAGGAGAAGGAGGAGCTGAGCGCTGCCGCAGATGAATTAAAAAACATCCTCAAGGAGAGTGAACTCACAAACTCAGCAGGTTTGCTTGAGAAAACGAGTGAATGTGCTAATCTGTCAAAAACACTGAGAGAGAGAGAAGAACTACTTCAAAGTTTACAGGAGGAAGTTGACGGTCTAAAAATGCAAGAGAGTCAACTCAACATGTCTCTGACGGAGAAAGAACAGACGTTATCAGAACGGAGGAGTCAGTCTGAGGCTCAGCAGGATCAACTGCTGCAACTTCACGACACCGTATCTGCGCTTCAGGAACAAGCGTCCGTCTTAAAGTCCGGGCTGATGGAGAAAGACGCATTGATTCAGCAGAAAGCGGAGGAATGTAGCGTTTATCAGAAGGAAGTCACGCTACAGAAAGAGCTGGTGTCGCTGCTGCAGGGTGAGGTGGAATCCACGAAACGCACGATAGAGCAGAAAGAACAGACGTTAAACAAAGTGTCGAAGGAGTTTCAGAACCACAAAGATGAGCTGAACAAACGAAACGAGTCAGTGATTTCACTCAGCGGTCAGCTCGGTGCCATGAATGAGAACGCAGCAGAGATGGAAGCTGAAATTAGCAACCTGAAGGCGGCCGTGCAGAAACTCCACGCAGAAAACTGTCAGCTGACACAAGAGGGCGGCCAGAGCAAAGCAGAGATTATTGATTTTAGAGACAGCGTTCAGGCTCTGAATGAGCAGAATACAAGATTGAAATCTGAACTTCTGAACACGGTGACAGTTCTGTCCAAAGCACAAGAAGAAGTCGCAAATCTCAAAAAATCAGTCAACGATATGGAGAATGAGCTCAAGACGGCGTTCTCCGAGCAGGAGGCTCTTAATTTGAGCGTGAAGGGAAAAGACGACCGCCTGAAACAGCAGGAGAGTTTGATCCAGCAGCTCAACGGTAGAATCGCTGAGCAGGAGCAGCGGCTGAAGCAAAACGCAGATGACAACGTCAGTTTACGCGCAAAAGTTTCCGAGCTGGAAGATTCTGCCAGTAAGCTCAGAGGTCAAGTTGACAGCCTTACTGCAGAGTCGTCCATCCTGAAAAACACGCTAGAGAAAAAGGAACATTTCAGCCTTGAATATCAGAGTCATTCTACAGCCGCTGTTGAAAATCTTAATTCAAATCTACAAGCTAAAGAGGCAGAAGGTGAGAGGTTGAAGGAACAGATCTCACACCTTGAAGAATCCGTCTCAAAGCTCGACAGCAACCTCCGAGCACAGTTGGCTGAATCTGAAAACCTGAAAAAGGCCCTGGTGGAAAAAGAAGCTGCTCTTCTGACCCAGTCCAAGTCTCTGCAGGACGTTCAGAGACAAGCAGACGCGTCTTTGCTGTTTAAAACACAGTTCATGGAAAGCACTGAGTTAGTGTCGCAGCTACAGAGTCAAATTCAGCTCCTGTCCGCAGAGTATGAAAACCTCAGAAAGTCTGCAGAGGAAACACACAGTGCCTTCAATAACCTGCGAGAGAAATATGCAGCCAACTTGGAGGAAATGCAAGACGTGAGGACGCAACTGTCCCATCGAGCTGATGAGGTGTCCGACCTTCGGAAGTTACTGGATGATTCCAATAACGAACGTCAGACGGCGAAGACGACCATAGAAACACTGAGAAACCAGTTTTCAGATATCCAACACAAACTTGAGGAAACCAAAGACCTGAACTCGAGTCTCTCAAAGGAAAAGGAAGAAGCCTTTTCTTCTCATCAAGCGAGTGTGTCGCTGCTCACCGTGGAGATAGAAAGGCTCAAATCACAACACCTTCAAGTCGCTGCACAAATGAACGCGCTGACAGAAAACCTGGAGCAGAGGGAAATGGCTCTGCATGCGATCAACAGCCAGTACACAGCTCAGGCTAAAAATGCATCTCAGCTGGTTTCAGAAATGCAAAAACTAGAGGAGCAGAATAAGAGGCTGAGCGAGGAAGTGAGTTTGTCAAAGGCAGAGCATCAGAAGCATCTTGCCACCGTCTGTAATGAGAGTTCACGTTTGCAGGAGGAAGTTAGGAAGCTTCTTGCAGAGAGGGAAGAGCTGGAAAGGAGTCACCATCAGATCCGGACATCGCATGGGGAGCTGCAGCTTCTCATGGAGCAGCAGTCCAGCAGCACGAAGGAGAACATGGAGCAAATGGTGACGGAGAGGGAGAGCCTTCAAGCAAAGGTTAGTGCCAAAGACGAAGAACTCTCTCAGTTAACAGAGAACATTCAAAAGATAGAGCAAATTCTGCAGGACTCAGAGAAAGAGTGGCTGTCAGTTCTGGATAAAGAGAAGCAGGATAAGAATCAACTTGCAGAACAATTGAAAAGTGTTGAAAATGAAAAGAAATCTAAAGATGTTAAAGTTAATGCGTTGAAACAAGACTTGGACAGTTTGCAGGAGAAGCTAGCGGAGGCTTCCTCGGCAGTTAGACAAGGGTCTGATCAACTGAGCGCCAAAGAGTCGGAGGCGTCAGCCTCCAGGATTCAACTTGAGAAGGTGTTAGCATCTTTTCAGGAAAAGGATAAAGAGAACCATGATTTGCAGCAGGCTTTAAATTCTGTGGAATATGAGTTAGAAAAACTTCTGCCAAGAAAATTACGCTCTGACAAAGATTCCACCTCCTCTGAGAAATGTGCTGCTCTGAATAAAAAACAAGCGTCTTTACAGAACATGATAAAACAGTTAGAGGAAAGACATCAGTCTGAGGTAGAGGCTCTAAGAAATGAGTTGGATAAAACGCTTAATGAAGGAGGGAGGAGTGAGGAGGAGAAGGGTCAACAACTTGCTCTTCTACGAGACAGCGTAGAGCGTTTACAGACGCAGCTCAGTGCTGAGTCAGAGAAAGAGAGAGAAGCCGCTGTCAAACTCTCGTTGTTACACAGTGAGTTACAAGCAAAAGATGAGCAGGTCAACAGTCTGGGCATTCAGATAAATCAGCAGAAGGAATTACTCGCAGGACTTAGTCAGCAGATGAGAGATAACGATGCATCCGTCGCCCAAGTCATGGAATCTGCCTCCAACGAAAGAGTGAAACTGTGTGAGGAAAAAACTTCCCTGATGGCACAAGTGGAAAACTTGCAGCGAGCACACGAAACCTCCATGAAAAGGTTCGAAGAGATTTCTCAGCAGCTAGAAGATGAAGTCTCTCGTTCTCAATGTGAAATCAGCTCCAAGAATTCAGAGAAGCTTGAGCTGCTTCGGGAAAACGACGATCTGAAAGGTGAACTCGCCAAACTGTCTAAAGAAAAAGACGCCCTGAAGAAGAAGCTTCAAGCTTCTCTTGTCGTGAGAAAGGATCTGTTGAAAAAAATGGACCAGTATGAAAACCAAAAAGAAGAGAGTGTGACCTCTGAGAAAAGGGAAGTTTCGCTTTTACAGGATAAACTACAGGAAATAACACACCAAGCTCAGGCGACAGCAAAAATATATCAGGAACAAGTTTCCCTTCTTGAACAGACAATTCTAGAGAGAGAGGGAGAGATTGTTGAACACAAAACACAGAGTGAGAGACTTCTCGAACAGCTGCAGTCAGAAAAACGAATTCTGCAGAGCACGTTGAATCAGAAAGAAATGTGTTTGTTAGAAAACCTGCAAACAATTAGTGACAAGACCTTCACCATCGAGCAGCTGCAGTCCAGCGCTGCAGAGACAGAAAAGGCTTTTGAGCGAGACAGAAACGCTTTGATCCAGAAGGTGGAGGAGCTTCACGATGAAATCAAGACATGTAAGAATGAGTTAAAGGAGAAATCTTCGTCTGCTGCTGCGGAGTTAGAAAGTGAGCTTGCACAGGTGAAGTCAGAAAAGGCCATTCTACAGAAGAAAGCCCAGGCTGCTTTGCTGTCACGCAAAGAGACGATGAAGAAAGCTCAAGAGAATGAAAAGAAATTAACTCAAGAACTGGCTGAGCTGAAAGACGACTACAAGGCTCTGCTGGAGCAACGCTGTCAGCAGACGAACGAGCTGAACGCCATCCAGTTAAACTTTGACGAGAAGCTCAGGGAGCTGGAGAGCCTCCATAAAACCTCTTTGTCATATCTGGATGAACTGGGCACTTTGAGGCAGCTGGTCGAGGAGCGGGACAAAACCCTTCAGGACCTGAAGATGTCTCTGGCTGAGAAAGAGAGCCAGTGTCATTCTCTGTCACACGTTCAGTCAGAGCTGGAAACCGTTAAATCCCAAGCTGAGAAAATGTCTCTGGAGATGGCAAGCAAAGAGGATGTTCTCGTAGTCATGGAGCAAAGAACAGAAGCTTTGACGTCACAACTTCATCTTGCCGAGAACAACTTGGAGAGAGCACGAGAAGAGTTACAAGAGAAAGAAGAAGAGATTGAGAAATATAAGCAAACAATCAGGGTCGTCGAGGACGTGACCCAACAGGAGAAGCAAGTGAACATCTCTGCCGAACACAAGTTTAAAATCTTAGAGGAAGAAAAGGAAGCTGCTTTAGAGCAGGTGAAAGTGGAACTTGAGACAGCTCTTGCTTTAGTTTCACAGAAATCCCTGGAAGTTTTAACCATCCAAAAGACGCTAACTGAAACTCAGCAGCAGCTCAGTGAGGACAAACATGTTTTGACTGAGGAGCTTGAAAAAGCACAACTGCATTGTACCGAGACAGACAAGGTTTTGGATTCCTTGCGTCAAGAAAGAGAAAATGCCTTTCAATTAGTCTGTGATCTCAGAGGTGAGGTGGCCACGCTCAACGAGCAACTGAAGGAGGCAGAGACGCTCAACGAGCAGCTCCATCAAAAGATGCCTGAGAAGTTTGAAGTGAAACTGAAGGAGAGAGACGAAGCTTTGTCGGTCTCTCAGGCTCGAGTAGCAGAAAAGGACGAGCTTATTGCTGCACTTGAACTGCAGTTACAGCAGCAATTAAAAATGCACGAAACTGTCATTGAAAGAATGAGAGTCGATGCTGATCAGCATCAGAGATCTCAAGAAGACGGCAACAAAGCAAACAACCAAGACAACCAAAGCAAAATCACTCTCCTGACCAGGAAACTACAAGCTGCGTTAGTATCCAGAAAAGAACTCTTGAAGGAAAATACAGCACTCAAGGAAGAAGTGGAAAAGCTTTCAGCCACACATGAAGCCAAAACAGCTGAATACTCTGACCTGGAATCATCAGTTTTCAAGTTGAAACAACAGAATACAGATCTGGAAACATCTGTGTCGTCACTGAACAAGGAGAAAGACGAGCTCAACTCCCAAATTGATAGAATCCGTAATGAGAATCGCAGTCTGTCAGCGGCTTGTGACAGCTTGAAACTAACCATAGAAAACATCACTCAGCAGAAGCAAGCCTTCTCATGTCAGCTGGAATCTCTGAAGGACTCTCAAACTGACGAGTTGTCCAAGTGGAAGTCGAGGCACGCTGAGCTGAAGCAGGAGTACGAGTCTCTGTTGGAGGCTTATGAAAATGTTAGCAGTGAAATGGACAAAATGAGGCTGCTTCTGGAGGGGGCCAAACGAGACAGACAGGACGCCCTCCGCAAAGCACACAAGCAACAGGCGGAGATGGAGACGATGGAGAAGCAAGCCAGAGACATGGAGGAGGAAAATGAAAGAATCAAAGAGAGGATGCAAAAATCTTTCAAAGAGAAACTGCTGAAGATTAAGGACCTGGAGGAAGAGAATCAGAAAATCAAACTGGAGTTGACTGAGCATGAAGGAAAGCAGGAAACATTGATGTGCGAGCTCACTGACAGAAATAAAGAACTGGAGTCTGAGATCTGTCGACTTAAAGAGTCATCAGAGGAGCTCAGAGAGAAAGTTACTGAGATCCAGGCTGAGAAAAGCCAACTGGAAGAAAAGTTTGAAGAGGCCAACACGTCCTTGGAAAATAAGCACATGGAATCAAACACATACACAAACAACATGCAGCTGAAACTCGATGAAGCACTCGGCCTGAATAATTCTCTGACCGCTCAGATTGAGGCCCAGAAGACAGAGCTCGGTGCTCAGTCGGAAATCAACAACTTGTTACAAAAGGAGAAGAAAACTCTTTCTGAAAGAATTGAGGAGTTACAGAATGATCACGAGCTGCAGTTGGGAAAGAAAGACGACGTCGTCAAAGAGCTGAGGGACGTTATCAACCGTCACAGCCAAGAGACGATAAGTCTGAACGAGAAGGTGAGAATCTTGGAGGATGACAAGTCTCTTCTGCAGGAGGAGCTTGAAAACGTTCAAGAGATTTCGGACAAAGTGAAAAATGAAAACGAGTATTTGGAGACCGTGATCCTCAAGAACTCTGAAAAGATTGACGAGCTGACAGAGTCCGTCAGCGCTTTGCAAACCCAGAACACGCAGCTGTCGTCTCAGCTGGCGGCCATTAAGGAGAGGAGCGATCAGGTCCGACAACAAAAAGAAGAGGAGCAACTCAAATTGGTCCGAGAGTTTGAGGAGAAACTCAAGACGGTGCAGAGAGGCAACGAGGGCTCCAAGAATGTGAGGAACGAATTACGAGAGCTGCTCAAAGAAAAGCACCAGGAGATAAATCAGCTGCAGCAAAACTGTATCAGATACCAAGAACTGATTTTAGATTTAGAGAGCTCTTTGAAGAGCTCGCAGTCAGCCTGTGAACTCTTGGAGAAAGAAGTGAAGAAAGGTTCAGAGAAAATATCGGCTCTGGAAGAGAGAAGTAAAGAAGTTGAAGCTGCGCTGATAACAAACAGAAATCTTCTCCAGGAGGCGACAGACAAGATTCAGAGTGTCCAGTCTGAGAAAGAACAGCTGCTTCTGGAAATGTCCCAGCAAAGTAAAAAGTGTGAAGAGCAGAAAACTTTGCCACAAAATATGGACGAGAGGCAAATAAATGCATATATGGAGAATCAGTTTATGTTGCAGCAACAGATAGACGACCTCAAAGAGTTGAAAGACAACGAAAGTCTAAAAGTGAATGAACTGAAACAACATGTAGACGCTCAGAATCTTCAGATTAACACTCTGAGGAGAGCAGCCGAGACGAATGAAGCCAAACTCTCAGCTCTATCGTCCACTCCTCAAGGGGCAGATCGGGCAAAACGCTGGAGCGAAATGTACCAGAAGACGTTGAACGAGAAGGACAACCAGCTCCTGGAACAGGGCTTTGTGATCAAAAGATTCCTGGAAGACATGAGAGTGAAAGACAAAGAGGTGAATGAGCTACGAGTTACCAAGTCAAGACTGGAGAGGACACTGAACGAATACTCCGTCGCTGCTGCTGCACAACAGAGGCAGCTGTTTGTAATGAGCGCAAGCAACGCTGAACTGAGCGAGTCCGCGGAGCTCATGACTGTGCAGGTGAAGGAACTCAGCGCCCACGTGGAAAGAACAGAACGTGATAAAAACGGACTGAACCGGCGGCTCGCGGACAAAGAGGATGTGATTTCTCGAATGCAGCTAAATCTCCAGCAGGTGGAGACGATAAATACCGACATGGACGCTCAGCTGCTGCTCCTACAAACTCAAAACGACAAACTTCAATCGGACTTTGAGAAACAGGAGGGAATTTCTCTGCAACTGAAAACGCTGCTTCAGAGCAAAGATGCCGAGATCTCGTCTTTGCTGTCCTGTCGAGACGGGCAAATGTCAGGCTATCTGGAGCAGCTCCAAGCTAACTATCGCTCGCAGGTCGCAGTTTACGAGGACAGGTTAACATCTTTACGCTACCAAAGGGAAAAGGCTGATAAAGGGTCAAGAGGCCTTGAAGCTAAAGTCAAAAGTCTGCAAATTAAAGTTAACAAGTCTGTCCAAGAAAAGGAGCAGATGGCAGCAAAGATGGAATCATTCAAGAACTCGATGGTGTCTTTACAAAGCGAACGGGAGCGACTCATGTCAGAATACAGAATACTGGAAGCTAAGAGTGAGTTGGGGTTGAAGGGTAAAGACGGCTCTGCTGATGGGGAAGGTGGTGCAGCCAAAGGCCTCAAACATGAGATCAGGAAATTGTTGCATCAGATGGATGATCTCAACTCGGAGAATGCGATGCTAAGGGCTCAACTGGTTCGATACAGGGAGGATCTGAATCAAGTTTTATCCCTGAAAGACAACCAGTTGAAGGTGCTGCTGAAGAAGCAGCAGGACGTGATTAAAAACCTGGAGAACCAAAAGGCTGCAGTAGACATGCAGCACAGAAAGTCTCGGTTGGAGCTGCAGAAGGAGGAAGAGGTGAGCGATTCGTTGAAAGAGGAGATTTCTAAACTTACAGCTCAGGTTTCAAAACTGGAAATGGAAATATCAACTCAGAAAAATGACAGAGCCTCAACAAATGTGGGCAAAGTGATTTCTGATTTGCAGGAGGCTGTGGCAGCGAAAGCAGCGGAGTGTAATGACCTCCAGCAGAAACTTTTCTCTCAGAAAACCTTAAATGATGAGCTCAATGCAAAAATGCAGCTGGTCGAAAAGGAGACGGACAAAAAACTGGCTGAGGCGGAAGATAAATACAACACCGAGCTGGACACCTTCGAGCGCGAGGTGGAGCTGATGAGGAATGAGCACGAGACCGCTGAGCAACGAGTGGCAGAACTCGCCAAAGACCATCTCCAAGTGGAGCAGCAGTTATCAGAGGCCAAAACTCAAAGTAAAGATGTGATGGCTCAGAACGAGTCTCTGTGCAAAGCCATGGCTGCTCTACAGAACGACCGAGATCAGCTCATCGAAGACTTCAAGATCCTGAGGAACAGATATGACGAAGAGCTCAGAGAGACTCAGGCAGCGCTGAACAAGGTGGAGCGCAGCCTGCAGGACGCCACCTCTGACCTGGCCATGTTTGCCAAAGAGCGGGACATCCTTGTCCATAAAGTCAACGCTTTGGAGAGCAAGGACACCGACGCAGAGCTGAGCAAGTTGTTGGATGAGCTGACGAAGGCCTTGTCGGAGAAGGAGCGGGAACTGAAGCAGGTCGCCATGGAAAATATCACGTACAGCCGGCAGCTGTCGGCGTTCTCCAGATCAATGGCCAGCCTCCAAAACGACCGCGACAGGTTGATGGATGAGTTGGTCGGGACCAAACGAGCGGTTGAGTCCAGACAAGGTTCGAGCCCAGAGACCTCCTCCTCCTCCACGAGTGTGGAAAAGTCTGAAGGAGGCGGCGTCAGTTTCCTCCAGAGTGAGAGAGACGGGCGGGTGAGTCAAGTCGTCGGCTGTGATGTGGGTTTGGCTGTTGCTTGCTCTTCTGTCTCTGTTGTGGTTTCATCTGACGGACATGAAGCATGAACAGATTGTTTTCTACCATTGCTTTGACTTGCATGGTATATTTCTGTTGGGATGCACATGTTCTGTGAAACTTGGTGTTTGATTTATCTTTTTAACTTGTTTAACTTTCTGACTGATGTGTCATCGTTTGTTTTTGCAGAAGATGAACGAGCTTCAACAAACTCGCAGGAGCCCAGATGAAGAAATCAGCAGCTCTCAGGAAGAAGCAGCGAATCTGAGGTAGAAGTAGACACAAGATTTTAATCTTTCAGTTTAATCTTTTAAAGGGAATTGGAGACGTCACACGATGGTTTATTACAAGTTTCACCCTAAACACACAGATAATTAATTAAGAGACTTAGTTACAGGTTTTAATTTTGGCCAAACTGTCGTAAACACCATGATTCCAACAGCAAAGAGCAAAGTGCTCAATGAGACGTGTTTATTCTTGTTCACTGATGGAGTTCTGTTGTGTACAGTTGGACGGACAAAGACAGGAAGGACTCACCTCAAGTCAAAGTGAGTTTACACCAACATTCTGCTTCTGTGTGCAGACTGTGACACGTATGACTGGAGATGTGACTCGTGTTCTCATGTTATCACCACAGTCATGAACATTATAGTTCACATACTTGTTACACATGTTACTGGAGTATTCCACTAGAGGGCACACCACAGAAATGCAAAGAAAAGTATTTATTTCATGAACCCACGTGTTGACTTGCTTGCAGCATGAAGCGGTCGCTCTGTCTGGTGCGAGTGTGACGGAGGAGGTGGTGAGGCGGTTGGAGGCAGAGAGGGTTCAGCTTCACAGAGATCTTCAGCGCTGCGTGTACGAGATCCAACAACGAGACCAGTACTTCCAGCAGCTCAACGCCAAGGTACTAAAACACACGACCACGACGACAGCGCAGTAAAACACACTGTTCAAGAGACAAAGACATGAACCATGGTTTTATCCAAGTCCCGACTTTCAGGTGTGAAAACACTGAATCTTCCTTTAACAAACTTTTCTCCTCACTCCTCCCCCCTCCCTCTCCCCCTCCCCCAGCTGCAGCAGGCCGTCGAGGAGAAAGGTGCAGTCGCAGCTCAGCTGAGGTCCGTGTCCCAAACGCTGAGGGACACACAGAACCGCTGCCACTGGCTGGAAAGACAAGGACAAGCTCAGGTAGATGATCCGGCACATGTTCGTCAGTTCCACGTGTTTCTGTTGGACTGTTTCCACCTGAACCTTTCACAACTCAACATGGACTCTGACACGTGACAGAAAGTCTACGTAGAAATATTCTCTTATAAAGTTGCAACTGTACATTCCTGTAATACTGTGTCCTCACCACCAGGGGTCAGTATATGCTGAGGTTGCACCAGGAGCTCCACAGGAGAGAAGCGACGACTCAATGATTCCTGAACCTGACGAAGCCAATCAGCTGCGAGAGAGGTGAGAAGAAGTCTGCCTGTGTGACTCTGTGACGCTTAACATGTTGTTAACATGTTGTTAACGTGTGCGTGCGTGCGTGTGTGCTGCGTGTGTTCAGGCTTCTTGAGCTGGAGCAGATTCTGGCAGATGAGAGAACCAGGAGAGAAACAGCGGAGGAGTCTCTGCGTCTCGCTGAGGACCGAGCAAAGAGGTGAGCCTCAGGTTTATCGTCCAGACGACTCACTTGCGTCACGTTACTTGTGCGAGTTTGCAGAGCGATTATCGTTTCCTGTGAATATTCACCCGTCGTCCTCTGGAAGCGGGAGAGGACGACCCACTCGTTCTCTGCGTCTCCTTCAGATTCTGGTTCCTATTCTTCAGTGTGAGACCTTGTGTCTGTGTTGCAGTGTGGACACTCAGAGAGATTTCAGTATTGAGATGGAGACAGAGGACGAGTGGGACGCTCTGAGTCTGGACCCCAACCAACCTCTAATAACACGCCAGGTGAGTTTTAATCTCTTCTTCATGTTCCTCTCACCTGCAGGACGTCTTGTCTGTTTCTCTCACTGTCTTCCTTCTGCCCCCTGCAGGTGAAAGGCGGCATGGCGGCGTGTCGACGATGGCTCAGAGGGCGGAGCCTCTACTTCTCAAGGCTGCTGACGAGCCGCGCCCGCTCTCGACACCTCTTCCTCTTCTACCTTCTCACGATACACGTGCTGGTCCTCCTGTGCCTCACTGGAGCCCTCTAGTGACGCGATGCTGGAACTAACAAGCTCGAGGTTTAAAAGCTGAAGTCTGTATTTGTTTTTTCTGAAAAGTTTTTTCTCCACGTTCTCGTTCAGTCGCACATTTTCCTGGTTCAGGTTCAGCACAGCTATTTTGACGTTAAGGTTAATGTTGACTACGTGCGGATTCAGTTTGAACTTTTCACTCGTTCATTTAATCATTAATCATTTCAGTTGTTTTTTCAATCGAAACAAAACATTATTGATCAGAATCAAAGAACTGGTTTGATTTGTTTAGATTATTTCAGTAGATTTTCTAGATACATTTTATTTTGGAACTGAGGCCTTTAGAAACCACACGCCTCTTTCTTCATCATCGTATTCTCTTCCTTCTTCTCCTCCTCCATCCTCTTCTTCTTCTTCTCCTCTTCCATCTTCTTCTTCTTCTTATCTTTCTTCAAACACATTATTAATATTATTGTTATTAATATTTTTGTGGCTTGTTGCCTTGGGACGTGGTCAGAGACTGAACTTCTGCGGATGATGTATCATTATGAAAACACTTCCTGTTTCGACACGACGTTATGAAATCCATTTCCTGTCCAGCTCCACGTTCTTCACCTGAGAACAAACGTCTCGTCTGTCGTTCGCATAAAATCCTGCTTCTCAGACGCGATGCTGAGTTTAAACTATGCACTGAAGAAAACACTCATGTAATTATCTCATACGAGCTCAGCAGCGCCCCCCCCCGTCACCCTGATACCTTTAAACTGTAGAGCCTGTGTGTGTGTGTGTGTGTGTGTGTGTGTGTGTGTGTGTGT